TAGTACCCAGGATACTGGGGGTAGTTGTAGAAGTCATACTGACTTTCATGGTGTCAGTGGCAAGAGGGGCTGTGTGAAGGCGAACGAGCACTTAACCCTTTAAGGTGCCAAAATAGGCCAGCAGTGAAAAAAATATTTTTCTTCATATTCTGTCTCTTTAGGTCCAAAACAACACAAAAGACCCGAAAAATCGTTTTCCCGGTTGTTCCCAGTTATTTTTTCGAGTTGTCGTCACATGACGCCATTGCACCTTACGGTCATGCGGGTTGGGCTCAAGACTCCTTTTTAACCCGGGGGTCCAAGACAACTTTTTTGCTTGCACACGTCAGTGTGACCTAAATCCATCAATATTTACTCAAATATAATGTTCTCCTGTAATTTCTAAATTTTTTATTTGTGCTTTTCATACTCCAGTATCATATGAACTACTTTTACATCGCGATTCTGCGAATATTTCATGAACAATTCCTGTTTTCCAGACAAAATCGTGATCGACAACAGTTTACCTATCCAAAACTGCCTGGGGACCCGGTTTCCATAAATAATTGTAGAAGTTATAGGGTTTTTACGTAGTTGCTGCATTTGTCATGATAACGCCTGTACCGCGTAGGCAACCAAAATAGTGATTAGAACGCTCAAAATTTTTAAAATGATAATGTCCAATGCTAAAATGTGAACTGAAACTGAAAAAAGTAAACATATGCCGCTGGTCAAATCTTTTTGAATCTGTGTCACAACGCAGCCAGAGTAACGGAAACGGTGACGGCAAGGTGCGATGGCGTCACTTGACGACATCTATTTTGCAAGCACCATAGATTTATGAAGACGGAAGCAAATCAAAAATCTGGCCAGGCTATCGTATTCTACGGTTCTTGAACCATAAGTAAACACCTTTGATTGAGTTGAAAACGTTCGAACAGACCTAGGTGACGCATCCGCGAAGGGCACTGTTTACGTCTTTGGCGATGTCTTGCGTTTCGCCATCTTTGATAAGTCGTAGCGCGACTTCGATAGGGCGATACTATCGAACGAGGGTATCAAATCGTTCACAAGACCTTTCCTTTCACGTACGCAGAAGAGTTAAATGTCAGAGTGCTGTGGTTTTCGAGCTAGAGGTGCGCAAACATCATGTCGTCAGGTGACGCCATGGCACCCTAAAGGGTTAATAGAGACTATAGTCTGTAAGTGGTTCATGTTTTACCTCATGATTTTATCACGTTTGGCTGCTTACTTTAGCAGATGTCGGTGCAGCTTTCAAGTTAGCTGGTGGTGACCTGACAAGGTGATATATGATCCTGATTCAATTCTGAGCAACCTAGTGAAGAATACAAGGAGGACGTACAAGTCAACACCCAACAACCAGGTGACTCCAGCTGACCCTGTCACCCAGGCTGACCCTGTCACCCAGACCCCAGCCGACCCTGCCACCCAGGCTGACCCTGTGCCTACCCATGTCGCTGTGCCTGTCCCTACAACCACCCATACAGATTGGCACTCAGCCACCCCCACAGGAATCACCGCACTCCCACACACATCTGCTCTCGCTCACATGAGCACACTCACCTACCACCCCGCACATGCAGCCACCAGCACTCTCACCAACGGACACCCATACCCACCTCATGCAGCCACCCACACTCTTCCCAACGGGCACCGATGCCCACCCCCTTATGAAGCAACACACACACCCACCAGCGCACACCCACATTCACCCTCTCATCTCCTGATGGGCCGACGGCCAGAGCTCACGAACAGCAGCTACGGACTACATGAGGAAGGAAAATATGGGGACATGCCCATTGGTATGTGCATGACTTGCCCGTGGACCCATTCCGTGGATTGAAACGTTCGTGGACTTTGTCCACGATGATTGTCCGTGTAGCTGTAGCTGTCCGGGATGGTTAAAGGAAATTTCGATGAAATATGCTGTCCGCGATCGTGTCCGTCGTGGCACTGTCCGCGGTCATCTGAGATCCTATCCGTGGCTCTGTCCGCAATGGTCCGAGAACTTTTTTGTGGCACTGTCCACAATTCAGTCCACGAGGTTTGTCCACGCTACAGTTCCGAGCTGTCCGGGATGATTGAGGGAAATTCCATAGAAATCTGTTGCGTTAAAAAGGTAGCATTCAGTGACCGTGATGACATCACGATCTTCGGTTCAAAAATTCCTGCCCTCCCGCCCTCTGGTGGCGATGGAGTACCCTGGGCGAACCGGACAGAGGGCGGGCTTAGTCTGAAGTGGTTGGATATGACCACCGCGAGTTGGTGCAATACGTCATACGTCATATGAAAAACAATATATAAGGGTTGACTAGATAAAGGACAAGTGTGAACAGCCTAAGTACCCCTTTCTCCACCCACAGATTATACAAATCGACTTGAAAAAATAACTTACTCACGTGCAAATTACTTATTAAAAACTTTGATGTGTCAAAATTCCGAAGCGCCATCTAGTGTTCGAGTGGTTGAACCGGGTTACACTCATCTCAGTCCGCAAGTGTCCACAAGTGTCCGTGAGTATCAAATACTATGGTATGCAACTGCTCGCTACGTAAAATTACAGACGAGTCGATTGACAACTCGTGGACATGGCGGCGGACATGGCACGAACGTCATGATGTGCAAGGCAATGGACATATCGATGGACAACTATCGGACAGTCCTACGGACTAGTCCTGTGGAACGGTACGTAGACATTTGGTGGTCATGGGTTACGGACAGATCTATGGAAAGACGAGCCGTGGTGGACAGCTGCGGACACATGCCATGGACGTTTCAAACGACGGGCTGTAGTTATGAATGCAGACTGAACCGAGGACAGGTCGTGGACTGGTCCTCGGACAGACTGATGGACACAATAGACACAGTGGACAGTTGGAGACTGCACAAGGACAGCCATGGACATATGCGGACCATTCCACGG